TTAGTTTTTTTTTAATACATTATTTGTCGCCACCTTACTACCTTTTATTAGCTTTTGACTCCTTCCAATTAGGTGAAGTGGAAGCGCGTGTTAATCCGGAAACTTCTTTCTCAATTCCTCACGCCAATTCACTTCCGTATAAAATGGACACAAAACCAGCCAGATTATATTCATAAATCAACCCTCCACAATCGATCAATCAACTGAGCAGTGAGCAGCTAGCCACCACCTTCATCGGAATCGAATTTCAGAAGCAAGCAACACCCTCCCTCCACTCTGTTTTTTCTGAAACCATCGGGTCATTTGTGCTCGAATGGCTAAGGGGATCGTCGCCGCGAAAAGGCCTTTCATCAATCCGTGGGCTGAGGTTGCCCCGCCACTTTTTGTCAAGTACCCTTGTGCTGCTGATTCCCCTGCTACTACTAGATTTAGATTACAGCCCATTGCAGAAGAAGACGAAGGTAGTGAAGATCAGCATGATCATGAATCTCAAGTTGTAGAAACCGGGAGCTAGCTCATGATCATCTACCCCCAACCCCTTTTCTGTTTCCTTCTTAATCTCATATATGATCTGCTCGGCTCTTCTGGCTCCGAGAAATTGTGTATCATTTGGAAAAAAGGGATGTGCTTAATGTTATGGTGTCGGGGTTTCCAAGTCGAAATGGGGATGTTTTCAAGTTTTCATTGTCTCCGCCAAGTATTTTCGACAGGAGCTTAAACAAATTAAAGCCTGTGTTGCTTTTGGGTTGGATTTCCATCTTATTTCGTAACTGTTCGACCTCCTCCTTCACGTTGACGGAGTTCAATGGAAACATCCCGTGTTTTGCATCTAGTGATCTCATGGAGCATGGACCGGCCCAAGACTGTAACAACTGCAGTGGGCCTGTCCACTTGCCGAAAGCCTGCCCTTTTTACTGGACTACTCTTTCCGGTCCCATTACATGTCACGTATCCATTTTTTCTAGCTAGCCCAGCCCACGCATCGCTTGTCCTCGCCGGCGTCCCTCATCTTCAAACCCCAGGACCTCAATTTCTCTTCTCGGCCCGAATCTTCTTCTCACTCGTGCCCCACTCTCTTTTTTTGTGGCGTTTGTAAAACAGTACCGTACCCGTGATTTCGATGGAGACTACTAGAGTTTACATTGATAGACGATTTTAGTGATATGAGATGGTTGAACCATGTTTAAACTACGATTTTTGCATATAATATCCTACCGTTCACTTTTTTAGTACAACCACAACCACTAATATGATTTTACAATCTTCGGTTTGATGTGTCCAACCTCTGGGTCGAAATATCATTTGAATACAACTTATTTACAATGTGTATTCGAAACTTTTCAAATTTAGTGGAATGTTTAATTTCATATGATATTAAGAGGTGACGTCATAATAACTTTTCAATTTTTTAAAAACTGATAACCTTTTATCAATGACCGAACATTGTATTTTTAATGCATGGTACAACTATTATGAATATCGTTCATGGTCTAATCCCGAGGTGGTGTTACAGAGGACACAGAGCAGGTTCTAATCCCGTGGTGATATTAGACCATCTACATTCATGAAATAACATTTTCATTTCATATGCGGTCCCTATTGCCACATCAACCACTTTTACCATTTCACTACATATCAATTTCATTTTCTCTACATCCATGAAATCAACTTTCTATTTCATTTTGTGGGTCCAACTAATTTTTTATTACAACTAAACATTTCTTCTATATGAATGAAACTATAAAAGAAAGTGAAAATGAAAAAAGAAGGCAAAAGGTGAGATTTGGGCCCACGATTCTACCCACTTGTAATTTCATAGAGAATTTCATTTAGTGAAATCTTCCATTAGTGAAAGGACTTGCTACATCCATGAAATAGCAATTGACAGCAGCCACGTCAGAATGAAATTGTCAAATGGAAGCCGTTGTGGATGCTCTTACAGAACATCTACTGTACCACCGGAGAGTGGATGATTTGGCAACACTAAAGATAAAAACACTAAAGCTAAAGATGAATGGATTGATGATGTGATATACTAATGGATTATGATGGTAAGCACTGGCCCTGGAGGCATACCAATGGCTATAATGCCGATACTATACTGATACCAATATGATCCAGCCCTAGCAGTTTAATGATGATATGATATTATTGTTACTGATACTAAACTGACTAACTTAAAAAGGAAATTGGATGATCATGTAATAAAAACTTAAAGGCGCCAAATTGTACACTTGGTACAGTAGATGAATTTTACAGGAAACCGGTTGGGGTATAATCCTGCGGTGGTATTATAGGACACCGGTCAGCTAAAGTTATAAAAGATCAACAATTACCGGAAAAAGGAGCATCGAAAAATTAACTCAATGAATTTCCTACGAGAAGGGAAAAATACAAATGATCTCATTCTCAATGTCATTCCGAGACAAACATATGCATTTACCTACAATACATTTCAATAATTGTTTCATGTGTTTTGACATAGAATAGACATGGCAATGGGTAGAGCCATTGGGTTATTTGACCCAATTGGCATGACTCATACGGGTACTGCGTCGGACCCAAATGAACCTATATGCACTTCTAATACTTTAAAGCATATTAGAAGTGCTCAGACCTTATATATTACAGACAGTTGGGGGCTGGTTTGACATTGAATGGGGGAGTGATGGCGTCCTACTCTATAAAGAAAGCCTGGAACTCTTTTAGACAACATGAGAATATTGTGCCATGGTATAGACTTGTTTGGAACAAACATATTGTCCCTCGTCATGGATTTATTCTATGGCTTGTTATAAATGATAGGATGAGTTGCATGACAAATTCATTGCGTGGGGCAAGCCTCGGTTTGGCCTGTGTATGCCTTGTCCAGGAGGCTATGAATCTCGTCTTCATCTCTTTGCTGAGTGTGCATATATCAGATTCGTTCTTTCTGTGATTTTACAGGCTGCAACTCCTCAATACTACAGTGGTGTGTTTGTTGGTGGAGTGGCGAATCATCTGTAGAAGCTTTGAATTGGTTGTCCTAAAGTGCGACGATCAGTCTAATCTGGTGTGAACGTTGTTCCAGGATGTATGGCTCAAAGGGTGCGTGGAGTCCTTCCTAGCTGGTGCTTGAGGCGAAACGGATAGTCCGCTTTTCGTTGTCAACTGGACCAGAGTCTGCTGCATTGTTACGAGTCTAGGGGTTTGGGGTAGTTTACTCTTTGCTTCCGGTTTTCTTCCTTATCTATGTACGAAGGCTTTTTATATATTGTACAAAACTTGTTTGTTTTTTAGGAGCGCCATAGCGGTTTGTTATTGGTTGCCAGTTCTTAATGAAATTTTGATTTAACCATACAAAAAAATAATACCAAATCATTAAAATATATTCATTTGTCTTAGTATTTAAATTTTATACCTAACCCGATTGTATTTGATAAATAAATGCCTATCAGTTTAGATAAAATAAAGTATACATGGAAGGAAGAAAGTGGACAGGCCAGCCGACCATCATATTGACAATCATTTTGCTGGGGAATAATTAGTATATGCGCGCGCCAAGTGTCCTAGTTCCATCCACAAGTATACCAACGTTATTATTTGGGTTTGCTTTCTCTTCTCTTCTCTTCTCTTGTGTGTGGTTTTTTTGTTTTCCCAATTACTGGGCGAAGTCCTGTGAAGTGAGTGGTTATGATTGGATTGGCGGAGCAGAAAACATTAGAATAAGTGAGCGTGGCGGCGGGCGGGGACGGGGACAGGTGGCACAAAGGGAGTGGATGAGCCGCGGGGGAGAAACAAAACAGTGACGAGGACTGAGTTGGGATGGGCGGTGGACGGTGATAGCTACTTTGCAATGATAGCAGATAGCTCGAATAGACCCCATTCCATTTTTGGTCGGTTTCTTTCTTTGTCTGTTCTCATCTCATCACAATTCACAGACTAGCCGGCGCACGAGAGAATTGACTTTGCCACAGCGGGCCAACTCAACTCAATCCGCGGTTCTCAGTCTCACTCGGGGCAAGATCAAGATGTATTCTCTACTTGCTGCATATCACCATAAAACTAGCAGTACTGTGAACTAGCTAGTGAACATTGTAGCCACTCTATTCATGAAAAAAAAAATCCTTTTCTTTTAACTAATTGACTTGTGAATGAATTCCTTACCTTTGGTAAGCAAAATTGAATCTCGAAAGAGCGGAACTCGTAGTTTACCATCGTCATGTGTCACTTTTTGTACATGTATAGACAAATATCATCACAAACCGAATATTAAGGGGACGGTAAACTCTATCTATCTTATATTTAGTTTGCTTCTGTTTAACTTCAAATCCTTTTATTTGAATTTGGATTAATTTCTTTAGGCATAATAAAGATGAATAAAACAATAGCAAACATACGTAGCTAATAATTATCATTACAGATGATATGAGTTTGATCCTTGGCAAGTGACCTAGACCCACATGGCACACAGAGAGAGAGAGGGAATCTGAAAGATAATCCTCCCCACTTCTTCACTGATCTGCATCCCCACAATCAAGAAACCAACAACCACACAACCAAAAACAAAATTATCATGCATGCCATAGAAAATTGCTGGAATGTTCACCCCAACCAAACCCCAAAAAATGCAAGAAATTGCTGGAACCTTATCCAATGACAACTCCCCACAGAGTCACTCACACACACAACTATGACACAAACCCAAACCAATGAAATGATAGAGAGAAAGAAAGCTACAAAATGGGGCGGCAAAGGTAAGCTAAAATATTAGAGCTTCATTCATTAGTTCATTCATGTACCAATATTACCAAAGCCCCACCACCACCCAAGAACACAAAACATTGAAAACTTGTGCAACAATGTCACTCACTCTGCCCTTCCCCCCACTCCCATAAATACCCAAACCATTCACACCCTCTTCTTCATCCCTCACACTCAAACACACCACCAAAGCAAAAAAGACAATCAACTTCCTCTCTCTTCAACTCCATTTCCCTTTTCTGATCACCAGTCATCAAATGGCGAAAGACGTGGAAGGGCAAGTCGGTGAGTACCAGCCCAAGGACTACCAAGACCCACCGCCGGCCCCGCTCATCGACGCCGACGAGCTCACCCAGTGGTCCCTCTACCGCGCCGTCATCGCCGAGTTCATCGCCACCCTCCTCTTCCTCTACATCACCGTCCTCACCGTCATCGGCTACAAGAGCCAGGTCGACCCCAACAAGCCCGGCGCCGCCGTCGACCCCTGCGGCGGCGTCGGCATCCTCGGCATCGCCTGGGCCTTCGGCGGCATGATCTTCGTCCTCGTCTACTGCACCGCCGGCATCTCCGGCGGCCACATCAACCCCGCCGTCACCTTCGGCCTCTTCCTCGCCAGGAAGGTCTCCCTGGTCCGGGCGGTGCTCTACATGGCGGCCCAGTGCCTCGGCGCAATTTGCGGGTGTGGGCTCGTCAAGGCGTTCCAGAAGAGCTACTACACCAGGTACGGCGGCGGGGCGAACGAGCTCGCCGATGGGTACAACAAGGGCACTGGGCTCGGTGCGGAAATCATCGGCACTTTCGTTCTTGTCTACACTGTCTTCTCCGCCACTGATCCCAAGAGAAACGCCAGAGACTCCCATGTCCCCGTGAGTAGCACTGTTTTTTTGAATGAACCCAAACCCTAGATTTGGAATTCAGCTTCAATTGAAGGTTTTTCCCCCTTGCAATTTTATAGGTCCTGGCGCCACTCCCAATTGGGTTCGCCGTGTTCATGGTTCACCTGGCTACAATTCCGGTGACTGGAACCGGGATCAACCCGGCTAGGAGCTTCGGAGCGGCGGTGATCTACAACCAGGACAAGGCTTGGGATGACCATGTACGAATTCAATTCAATGCTTTCCTTCCATCCTCTGTTTTTTTGGTCTTTTGCTTCGGGGAAAAAACAGAGTATTTTTAGAATCGAAAAGTTAACCTAACTTGTTTTAATATATTTGATTCCTCCACAGTGGATGTTCTGGGTTGGGCCGTTCATTGGAGCTGCGATTGCTGCGTTCTACCATCAATACATACTGAGAGCTGGAGCTATCAAGGCTCTTGGGTCCTTCAGGAGCTCCTCCAACAACTAAGTTTCTCCACGCCATCACTCGGCGGGAAAAAAATGGGGTTCCAGGTGTAGCTGGGGAGTAATCTCTCAATGGAAAATGTACATTGGTTGTTGTTGTTGTTGTTGTTGTATCAGTCAAGTATGGTCGTCGAGACATCAATTTGGGTTTAGCTTCTTCCTCCGAGTGCTTTTTTTCTTTCTTTCTGGGCCATCTTGTTTTAATCTGTGTGGCCGAAATGAACTTGTGATTTCCTGCAGCAATATGCTTGTTTGCTTTTTCCTTCGTCCTTCTCTTCCAATGATAATAAAAATGTATAAGTGTGTTGCTGTCGTGGTGGTGCATATTATTAGTATATATATAGACCATAAACTCTTGTCATATTAAAAGAAGATAAGGATAATATTGTCTGGACTTTGGAGATTCAAGTCTAAAATAAACTGAGGGCTGGATGAATCCTAAAAAAGTAAAAATAGTTGAAACTTTTAAAGTTTTTGGACAAAGAATAATAAAAAAAATATTTGAAATACTAAAAACTGGTCAAACCTTATAAAATGCTAAATAATGAAAGTCAACTAGTAACTTTAACCATCGCATCCATAAAATAAAATTTTATTTCACAACAACTATTTTCAAAATTATACTGCATAGCAATTACATATTCTCTACATCAATTAAATTCAATTTTTATTTCATATAATGGACCCAACTAACCATTTTTAATACAACTAACCATTTTTTATCTAATCCACACCTTTTTTACCAATTAATAATGTGTCATATAATTGAAATAATATATTTTACTTTTCAAATTATCAATAATAAAATTAGTTTACTAATAAATTAAAAACATATTATAACCTTTTATAGAAATTTTTTGTATTTGGTCATAATTGTGACATCTTTATATCTATACTAGATTCTTTACCCGCGCTTTGCGCTGGGATTTGAAGTACGTATAGAATCTGGTTGTATTCCAAATTGCTCCAAGCTTAAATTTTAAACATGGTTAATTGTAGAGTGATCAGAGCAAACACACAAATTACATTGCGTGGTTTGATACGGTTCAGCGTCAAAAACAACAATAACCATCTAATCCTGCAAGACACCAATAGAGATTCCAAGCTCCCACAAAAAGCACCTTGCCCGACTATCCATTTTAAGCACCAATTGTCCACAGAATGGCTTACATCATATATATATAAATCAACAACAGAATGCCATCACGCCAAAATCATAATGGATGCATGCAATTTTGAACAGATAATACAACATCCGATCATCCATTTCAATGCTGAACTACCCATAAATATGAATCTTACACATTACAAACATTTTTTCAGTAAACACGATGAGTAATAAAACAACACCAATTCAACTATTAATTACAACAACCTAAATGTCATCAACAAAAAAGCTGCAATAAGCAACCAAAGCTAGAGATAGCACCCTGAATTACGCCAGCCATAAACCACATTACACATACATTGCTTCATAAAACAAAGTCCCACTGCCAACAACCTGAACATTACAGAATAACATTTACCTGCATACATAGGAACAAACGAACAACAATGCCAACATAAGCAAATCGTCTATATGAAGAACACAGAGGGGCAGGGCATTATAACCAGACACAAAAACCACTATTTGCATTTTCCAATGCAAGCAACTTCATAAAAGCAAGATAAAATACTACCAAAACGGAAAACTACCCACGTTGATTTGGCAAAAAAAAAAAAATCATATCAAGATCAACATTGTTCCAGAGTTCAAGCTATAAAAAGGAAAACAAACCTTCAAGATCATAAACAAAATATTTAAAAAGGAAAAATCATCCATTATCTTGCTATGTCCAAGTTTCAGAGAGTGAAATCATGTTAACAAATGATCATGACACCTGTGATAAATGACCAATTAGGCTAACACCAGCAAGAAAGTTAAAGATGAATGAAGTAGGGGAAAACTCAAAGCTGTGAATGGTGAAGAAAATATGGGGCCTATGATGCTGGTGGAATGATTTTACTATACAAAATGCACAGTTGAAACTAAATGGAGTTAAGGATCAAAGACTTTCACAAATGATCCCTTGAGATATGTAGGAAAATAAAGCAAAATTAGTAAAGGCTCTAATCTGAGTTATTTGTTCTCCAGCTTTCAACTACATATGGAATTAAAATCTGATATAGATTATGAAATGGTCATTGGAGAAGAGACAAAACAATAAATACCACCATTTTCAGCAGTCTTAACCTGTGTGGCTGCGTCAATGAACTCCAATTTCCTCCTCCCATCAAAAGATGCAGCTCGGCAAGACTTTAATAGCAAAATTCCAAAAAAATCAATGATGTTGAGAATTATTGAAGGGCGGCTGGCTGTTCATTGAGCAGCCGTCCCCAAAAACGTGTATACAGGACTGCATAGTATCTGCATAGTAACTTTTCCTTTTCTATAAATAGCTGAGATTTCTGATTTCAGAATTCATTCAGAGAGATGTTCGTGAGAAGAGAGAATTTCTCTCTATGTATATACTCTGTTGAAAGAAATAGAAGAGAAAGTGTTTTATATCTATTTTGTATCTACTTTGTCTATTATATCTCATATTGTCTTATTTCATAGTCTATACGTCTACATACCAAAATTCACAACACGTTATCAGCACGAGCGCTCTACCTACTCAAGGTCCTGCAAGTCAAAAATTGTTTTTGAGGTAGATATTTTTCATCATCAGGTACGCATACCCTCTTTTCTATAAAAAGCTCAAACAAACAGAGCCTTAACTATTTTGCCATTATGCACAGTATTTGCACAGTTTTTTTTAACGTAATGTTGCAGGGTCGCTTTCATCAAATAGTAAAATTACTATGCATATACTATTTGTGGAGCCCATGACATTATTATTATTGTTTTTATATGATATTATATTGAATGATGGGCACCGCTATGCCACTGACTTTCTAACACACTAATCGTATTATTATTACTCTTACAATTATTGTTATATTCTATGTTAAAGTGATAGCAAATTAAAAGGAATCAGAGTAAATTCCTGAAATTGATAGGTTCCAGAATGATAAAAGCTAAAGTGAATAGCTAAGGTCAAATGACCTATGGATAAATGGGTTATCCGAATTATGAGAAATCCTCTGGACGTAATTCCATTCCCGGAAGTGAATGTGAAAAAGGACAAGGTTAAAATACCTAAACCTAAATTGGTTTGTTCTAATGATGAGAAATTCCAACAGTAATAAATTTTCACCTGCAATGAAAAATGGGATAGTAAAGAAATTTCCTATAAAGGACAAAGATGTTACCGTACAAGTAGTACGTGAAATGGATTTAAAAATGGACAAGAACAAGGATATTGGTCATATTCTGTACTTATTGTACATGATGTTCATGATGATGATTTTATATTCATTGTGGTGGAACTGTGGTCGGTACAATCCGCATATCCCATAAGTGAATTAAAGTATATGATTAGTTAACCACCTGTTACAAGGAATCAATTATGTATGGTCGACTTTTACCAAGAATCACTTGAACGAAATGTTCAAACCGGGAGATAATTTTATGACGAAAAGTGATTCGCGACATGGCCAAGTTTGAACCCATGAGATTTAATTTATATGTCCATTTGTTCCATGAATACCGAAATATCAATAGGTATATATCTGTACGGAAGAATCCAATAAAGTTATCTGGTTGGATTGGATTTGATCCCAAAATTTTCATATATATATACTATGGGAGTTCCACACGGCCATGCCAAAAATCCACACGCCCGTTTGGAAATGGCCTTTGGCCGTGTGAAGGCTCGGCAATTCCCATACGGCCAGGAGTGCAATTTCACACGGCAGTGTGAAAATCCTCGGCCAGCCAGTGTGGTTTTCTCGGCCACACACGGGCAAATGTATACTTCACACGGCCGTGTGGCTTGCCCGTATACCGAGCCTGAAGCCTATAAAAAATGACCCACACGGCCGCGTTGGCCAGAAAAAATCCGAATCACATTCGGTGATTTCATCACATTGGTACTCAATAAGTACCTCATATAGTCGATACAAAAGGGAAGTATTCAAACTTGAATTTATTGATAAATTTGATTTATAAATCAAGCAGGATACATTGTATGAGATCTATCGATCTCTTCATTTTTCATACTACCATATATGGAGCAAAGACTAGAAAATATCTAGTCATGCTTATGATCCTCGCGTTTGTGTATCGAAACGTAGCGTTCATGATTGCGATAGTGTATATCTAGCAATATAAGTATTGCAATCAGAAAGAAAATCATAAAGATCCATGACACCCAAATCAATATTAGAAAGGAAGAGATTTCTTCGGCCATTGCTTCACCCGAACTCGATAAGATCCCTGAAGCGACTTATAACGAGAAGAGTTCTCAAGAAGGGAAGAAGAATGATGGAATTGAGAGATGATGTATGATTTTTCGGTTTGAGTATAATGAAATGAAAAGGAGGAAAGTTGTTGTTCTATAGCCGAAATTGGGGATAAGATAAGGATGTTGATGTGGTAGATATTGAGAGATTGTGGTTTGAAATTTTGAAAAAGAAAATAGATATTGTAGTGTATGTCGGCCGCCATAACACACAGAAAGTGCCAAAAAGCAGATCGAATTTACCAGGTAATCATAGTTGATATTATGCTGTATGTTCTATCTAACAGTTCTCTTTTGGTGAAACAAAAAGAATAAGGTTCGAAATCTGGCGTCAATGGAGCTCGAACCTACGACGTTCCAGGTGAGGGCAAAGAGCCGTACCACTTCAGCCGCGTCCCCTTTTTGTATCATTCTTAGATTATTTCATAATATATATTATTGTGATTTAGACAACGGATTAATTCTCGTGGTTAATTATTATTTAAGAAAGAAGCAATCAAGCAAATGCAACAGTAAACTTGAAGTTTACATTACGTGATAAATTGATTGTTTGGCATGACCGGTTGGGCCATCCCGGATTAATTATGATGCAAAAGAAAATTGAGAATTTATGTGGACATTTGAAGGAATTCCACAAGACAGTTTTATCTTGTGCTGCTTGTTCTCAAAGAAAGTTGATCATGAGATCATCACCAGTGAAAGTAAGAATTTGAATATTATATACGATGAGCATATGTAATACCAAGTTGGTGAACCAATACACCATGTGGACCATTTAGGTATTTTATGAGTTTAATCGATGCATCGACTAAATGGTCACATGTATTCAGCTGCAACCTGAAATTTGCAAGACTGATTGCTCAGTTGATTCAATTATGGGCACATTTTGATGAATGTCCAATCAAGAAAATATATCTTGACAAATACTGGTGGTTACTAGAATTAATACAAAATATCTTGTAGCACATGTGTGTGCACAAAATGATCTCGATGAATCACTCACTCTGACATGTCATCTTACATGCGGCAACACTGATTTTGCATCATGCCAACAAGATGTTACTAATAAACCCCTATATAATTGGTTCTGGTCAGGACCTAAAATATCCCATCAGAGAATTTATGAAAGTGCAATATACGATGTAAGTTGATCCACCACAATTTACAAAGATGGGTTTTGCAAAGGAAAATTGGAAACTGAAGTTGCATAAGAAGTCTCTATTTGTTTTAGTGAGACTAGAATTTTTATATGATATTTATTGACGTTGTTATATGAACAAGTCAATGTTTCCAATATCAGGGGGAGAAAAAGAAAGGGTAAGCAGTTGATTTGCAAATTGGTTGAAATGAATTATGATCCTCATACTTAGAATGTGAACATGAAGTTCAAAGATAATTCATTTGCCAAGATTGGTTAACCTACTGCCAGGCATCGTTACTGACCCAAAAGGAGGTGACGAAGTCACTAGCAACTGCTAATGCTCCTAAGTTAATATCCTAGAGGGATATATTATACACATATGACGTGTGATAAAAATTATCGGTTCCAGAAATACAAATCCTCAAATAAGAAGGGAGCTAAGAATAAAGATGGTTTTTATAATGAGGATATTGTAATTCTATTCTCCAAGAATTATTGGTTTGGTATAACCACAGGTACCTGTTTGGGAAAATGAAAGAGCTCCCAATAAATTATATCTTGGATGAAATTTGATGGAATCAAAAGGAAGTCAACGTTGACAATGAATTTTGTATATATTGTAGCGCGCAATATGATGAATGAAAAATGAGGATCGAAAAGAATATAAAACAAGATGATTGGCCAAATCATAACGACGCATTGGAGGCAGTTATGAACTCGCCTACAGAATAAAATGTCATGGGATTTATACTCCTTGTATACGAAGAAGTAATGTCAATAAAGCATACATGATGTCTTACAATGACATAACAAAGGGGAAGAAATTGAGAGATATTATGCTCGACCTATCAAAAGAGTATTATATAATACTTGACATTGAGTATAAGGAGACTCACTCTCATATGGTGGATATGACTTTTGATATATAATCAATTAGTCTGGCAGTATGAGGAAAAGCGTCTAGTGGATGTAATACAGTGCATTTATAAAAGCATGCTTAATAATGATGATATTTATATGGAACTCCCTGGAGGAGTTAGTTTGCACGAAGCAAACATGTTAAGGTTTTTTTTAAGAACGTTATTCAAGTAAATTGAATTTCCCCTTAAACAAAGTGAAAGAGCATCGATTAATATGAGTTAATGATCTAGATAAATTTGAGGCAGGCATCTACGTACTCAGAATATCTTCCAATGATTGTTTCATATGTTGTGACAAAGAATCATTGGTTGTGGGTGCCAAACTTCTTATAAGAAGGTGTTTGTAATATGTTTTCAAGTTGAGATGAAAGGTATAAATATGGTTGAAACTCTTGAAGAGTGTTCAAAGGCAATAAGTTATTGAAATCAATAACTTAAAACGACGAGACTTTAACTTGGATTACAAAATCAAATATTGTAAAACAAAGTCCTCTGCATCAAAAGATATATAAATATGCACAAATGATAATAATGGATGAATTATCCATTGAATAGATCAAAGAGTAAGATCTATATGAAAATAATCATATGTTTGTCTATTGGTAAAGTAATTACCAAATACATGGTCGTATAGTACATGATCTTAGTGTCATCGAAATATTAATATATTGCCACTTGATATATTAGTGGTACAATATAGAGTTAATCACGCAATGTGATATGATCACAAACAAGTTTGATGATGTTCCCATATAAGCGGGAATAAAGTTTATATGGCTACTTGACAAAGCAACATAGAGTATCTACATCATTTGATCATGCAGATACCATAGTCACAAAT